ATCTCTCAAGTTTCATATATCCAGAAGCTGCAAGTGGAATCCATCTGGGTCTTCCAAGTTAACAAAGAGAGTTAGTCAGTTGCATCCTATGCAGCTCGGACCCTCTGAGCGAGGTGTTCAGTATGTCCACGATGCTACACTAACTTTCTGCTCACATCTGTACCTCCAAACAAATCAAAGATCGAATACAAAGTTTTATTAGGACACCCCGGGTGAGTTTCACCTAGACATTATGAGTGCATCTTGTAGAAGAATCACATGGTTCCGGTATGGTTTGGACCCTTTAAATGGTGTGCGATCGGAGCCTCCGGCTGGGATCTGTTTCCAAAAATCCTAAGTTTCATTTGAAGCCTCTAATGACTTCCACGCAGAACCTCTCAGCCTTTGTGGACAGTTCACCTTTGTGCATTCAGAGCCACCGAGTTTATTCATTTTGGACCCTCCCAAGTCTTCTTTGTTTGGCTCTATACTTGTTCATAAACTTCAAACGATGTCGACCAAAATACTTTGAGCATGTTGAAATTCTCCAGATTTAGCTCAGTCACAACCTCCGAGTGGAAACGAGAACTTTGAGTTTTGTTAATTCAGGTGTAATGGCAAGATTATGGGTACAAGCTACAAATAATCCTCCCCATCCCATCTAGCGCAAGTCTTTCAGAACTCATTTGCTCCAAGGTTCAAGTCATATTTTCAGAACTCTCCTTTTCATGAGATATATCCACTCATATTCTTCAAAAACTCTAACTCTCGCATTCAACAGATTTATCACATTAGATTTTTAGCGTGGAGGAGGTTATCTTTTGAAGCACATGCAAGGATTCATCGCCAAACAACCCAATTTCTTGTTAATTCTGGAGGGTGTGTGCCTTCTAGACCGGTTATGTGTCCTAGGGGCCTTCAGATTTAAAAGAACCAAGAAGTTTACCAAGACAAGGAGATCAACTACTTCATGTAAAGATATACCACAAGTATGGTTGCCGTGGTGGGATACGTGGGCCAAGGGACATTCTACGCCCTAGGAGTCCTGGAGCTCTAGCTTTATGGGCATTGGTCGTGTCTTAGGGCTTCGTAATAGAGTAGTATTGCATATGACGATTCTGAATCTCCAAGTAAATCCTTGTGTTTGCAATCCTGCCTACTTATTCCCTTTAATTTCATGAAAGTTTCTTTTGACTCTTTAAATTATATTTGTCTTGCATATGTAAAGTGCTTTAGAGCATCTACAACCACAAGTAACAAAATCGAGTCCCCATGCATCCGCGGACGTGTCCGAGCACATCTGCATGCAGTGACCTATCAGCACACATTTTTCTTCCACTACAACCACATACCTCAAAGTTGACTACTCAAATCCATACTAGATCATGCAACACACAATATATATGTACTATTAAATACTACAACGAAACCTATTTCAAAATTTTAAAAATGAACTAGTTTCAAACCAACCAGCCAAATGAAAATCCACTTTCATGATTGTGTTCCCTCTAATGAGGTTTTGAACTAGATCCCACATGATTGTGTTCCGATTTTTGTTGAAAAGCAATTTTCTGCCAAAAAGCAAAGTTTTAATATGAACTTTCTTTACTAGCATATACCAATAAGTATGGATTTGCTTTGAGTAAAACTAGACCCCAAACATTGTGTTGGTTCTTTGAATCGTGTGTGTTTTCTCTGTGGTGTAGCACATGGACTGACAAGCAAAGTAGTTGACTTTATAGCAGTTGCCAGTGCATGCATGTGAGGATACACAGTTCGCAACGCGACCTTATTTTTCCTCCGCACCTCTTGGTGCCATGCAAAAAGCTATCTGAAACTTCAAAATTGAATTGTTTTAAAACATATGTTGAAATTACTATTTAATTTCTTCATTGTATTACTCGTCATGAGACCTTCAAAACTAGATCCCATATGGACATGGACTGATAAATATATTTGAAAAGCAACGTTCGGTAATCAAAAGCTATATTATAGTATGCATACATTTCTCTCACAAAATGATGGGTTGTCCATCTGTTCTGAATTTGTGTGCGCAAACTAACTTTCAAGTGTATAATCACTTATACAGCCGGTAAAAAATTGTTTCACACCAGGTACATAATTTTCACTAGTGTTTTCTCAAAAGAAAATTAGTGCTAAGAAATATATATTTTCATTGTAATAATTTGTTTTTTCAGAAACTAGCTACTACTGTAATACATGCTCCCGAGAATTGATAAAAGCAATCCTAATAATATGGCAACAAAAATAATTCGTGAGAAATTGTCCAATTACCCCTTTGTTCTACAAAAACATATCTGTACTATAAACTTGCTTTTCATGACACTAAGTTGATTTTGAAAAATGTTTGTTCAAACTTACCCATGTGGGATCTAGTTTTGAATCCTTTTTTGTGAAAAACACAATATTGGCGAAATCTGGTTGCGATCTTCACACTCGGTTTGAGAACTGCATTTTTTTTTAAGTTAGTAACAATTTTGGAGAACTAAATCCATAAAAGCACCACAATCCAAGTGGCATATAGCAAAAAAAAACTATCATAACATGTTTGTGCCACAAACTACACCAAACTCAACTCTAAAATTTTACAAACTGCACCGAATGCAATGCTAAAAAATGATTAAAAAAAAGAGCCACCAATTTTGTGTTTGTCATATGCTATGTTTCTTCAATTTTTAGGGTTGTGTTTTGTGCATTTTGCACCAAAAACAGAAGTGGTGTTTTTTTTTCTAATGACACATGTATTGTGGTTGTTTTATGCATTTAACTCCAATTTTGGATGACGCTAACATCATCTTATGCTTGTGGTCGGTGTAGTTCGCTGCATGCAGTGAAAAGGAACCAAAGGGTGGAAGGCTGTAGTGAAAAAGCGCATAGACGCGTCCTAATTTACCTGGATGGTAGTGGCACCGAAGATGACATCGACTTGGAAGATTCTGTCCATGGTGCTCGCAGCGACCGTAAGTATCCATGGCGCCACGTTGGTGACAGTGGCTGGCTGTGGCCCCGAGTTGCCGGCGGAGGCGACGACGACGATCCCCTTACTGATGGCGAGCGACGTGCCAATCGCGATGGCGTCTCCAGCATAGTCGATGGCGCGGGGCTCGCCGAGGGAGAGCGAGAGCACGTCCACGCCTTCCTCCACCGCGGTGAGTATGGCCTTGAGGACGTCCAGGCTGGTGCAGCCCTCATTGTAGCACGCCTTGTATGAGGCCACGTGCGCCCACGGCGAGCCGCCCTTGGCCGTGCCTATTCCGTGGCCGAAGGCGCTGGCGCCGGGGACGAAGCCGCCACCCGCCGTGGACAGCGTGTGTGAGCCGTGCCCCATGTAGTCCCACGGCGAGTTCACCACGGTCTGGTTCATCTGGCCACCCTTGGAGGAGGTCTGCGCCTGGATGCCCTTGCTGAAGACCCTCGCGCCAATCAGCTTGCTGCATGTGCATCCATGCACATCCTTAGTTATTATTGATGTACTCTCAGTGCACGGTAACTCGGCTGTTATTTTCTAAGTCTAAATCCTCAGTTATGGAAAGTGCGATCGATTTCAGTTAAATGAAAAGTGCATCAGTTGCAGCTTCTAGGATATACATATATATGAGTTGCGGCCTAAATATATATGGATATTGCCGTTGATGGAGTAACGATGAATTACCCGTTGCAACCGGCGTTGTCGATGTCATCGGAAGCATCGCATCCACCGAGCCATTTCGTCGGGGCGACCATGCCGTCGGCCCTGAAGCTATCAGATGTTGGCCATACACCTAAGTATCGTATGTACGTACATCAGAAGGTGCCAAGGGAAGAAAAACAAACTTGGGTCAGAGCTTCTTTTTCTCTTTTCCACAGGTTCTTGTGGAGTTATACTAACAAACATTAGTATTGCACTGGTCAACTCAACTTTTGTTTTCCCATCTATAATGGCATTGTTAATTCATGCATGATTAGCTCGTGGTTGCTTTTAAATTGTCAGCAGGATCATAGTGAAAGTGATATAGATTACCCGAGTCAACGTTCCCAATGACGACGCCCTTGCCGAACTCGGCGACGTTCTCCCACAAGTCACTTGCCTTGCCATCTGATCCCTCCAGCCCCAGGAACTCAAAGGAATACGTTGTGTGGAGCTTGTGAAGCCTGTCTTCGATCACTGCCTGCGCCCCGGGGAGCACTGGATCGAATATCGAGTCAATACTTAATCAGTTATTTAGCTATATATACTTGAACAAATTACGTTTGCATATATTCCATTCAAACCAAGAGTTTATGTTCGCTGTGGATCTAATCTCACTAAAATATATGTTAGAATAACCGGTGGTCAAACCATGGTTTTCTGTGTGAGATCTGTCTAATTTAGTGCAACTATAATGATCTATCTATTGCGACTTTTTTTTTACTTTTTCTGTTCGGGTTTATTAGGCTATCTCGTAAATAGATCAAACTTTAACTTTATATAGAACTAATTAATGCTACAAAAAGAATACCATTGGGTTTTATATGTAAAATGATTCCCATCATATAATTTTTGTGACACATATGTTATATTTTATTAGCTCAATTTATGGTCAAAGTTTGACATAAAATACAAACGGGGTCAATAAACTTGGAGGGAGGGAGTAGATGTGAAGATCTACTGGTTAAGTGCATTTATGGAAAAAATCTAACACATGTGGCCATTTCAGGTACAATTATATAGATCTAGCGGATGCTCGCTATCTATTTAAACGTGATTATGTAGATCTAACGAGTGTGATCTAAACTGTATGTGTATATCTAATGATTATGATCTGTGTATATGTCAGTATGAAGGTCTAATGGATATGATCTGTTTAGGTATGATCATGATGATCTAACACAGGTACACTCTGTTCTTGTGTGAGTACGTAGATCAAAACGGTTGCGATTTACTAATAAATAAGATGGTCAACTAGATCAGCGGCAACAGGATGTCTTACTTCTTTTATGGAGTTTCCAGGACGAACTGTCGCGATTTTCTTTGGTATAATGTTCTTATTACATACAATAGATATACATAGACATTTGGAGTTGTTACATTTCAAAAACGAAGAAAATGTACATATAGTAGACTCAAATTAGTACAGAGATCTGTGGCTATGGATACGAGGATCGATGGTGAAGTTTTGGTGCATGGTGCAATGCAACTTACGTTTGAGAGCTGGTACGAAACGGTCGTCGATCTGCAGCCTGATCCCGTTGATGGCTTCGAAGACATACAATATCTGGTACCTGCATTAATAGGGTTCTACTAGCTATGTAAATATAGACATAAATCAAGCCATATATGTAACGTGCTTGGTGATCGCTGATATGGCTTACAGTTTGGTGAGTGGATCCAGCAGACCAGACCAAGATGCCGGCGGGCCACTGACGATGAGCAAGTAGGACTGCATTGCATAGCATAGCATAGCATAGCAGAGGCAGGCAGGCATGAACGAACAAACGCACCAATTAATGAAACTAGCACGTACTCTCTCTGTAAACTAATATAAAAACATTTAGATCACTAAAATAGTAATCTAAATGTTTTTATATTAGTTTACGGAGGGAGTACTACACACCATGGCAGAGAGAGAGAGACCTTGGTGGTGGCGGCCGCCGGCGTGATGTGCAGCGTGAGGAAGAGCGGCAGGAGGGCGAGCAGCAGAAGGGCGCGGGAGGAGATGCCCACTTGATATGGCGGAGCCGTATAAACAATGAGCATCATCCATCTTCTCCGCACCGGCCCACGTGATACGGCGGAATAGTATAATTGAGCATGCATGCAGCATGCAGTCGCATTACATGGGCAGCATCACCATTGCCTCACCTGGAGCTGGATGTGCTGTTCTAAATCTTTGTTCTTCTTCTGATAATACAGAGTCCACTACGTCTAGTGTGTTGCTTTAATAAGATGGCTGCATGCATTGATCGAAGGCCGGAGGTTCGGCCTCCTTTTTCAAAAAAAAAGGTACGTCTATGTGTAGGAGGAAACAAACACGAAAGCATGCATGCAAACGTTTGTTGCCTATAAATAGTACTAATAAAATAGACAAATAAAACCAGCTGTGGCTCCATGGTTTACTAATAAAATAGACAAATAAAAGGTGGGCCCCGTCCCCGCCGGCACCCGGGGCGGCGGGGTGAGGAGGTGAAGCGAACGGACGGAGGTAGTCTCAAGGGAGCTCTTCCCGACCACAGTCCAGAAGCGTCGGGCGAACGCGCACCCGAAGATGAGGTGATCAGTTGTCTCGAGGGGAGCGGAGCAAAGGGGGCACCCTGCCCCGGCAGCGTCCCCGTTTGTTGGTTTTAGGGTAGCCAACCAATCTTGCCGGCTGGTGGCTTTGGCAAAGTTCTTGCATACGATTAAATACGGTACTTTTTTTCTGCTGAAAAATACTCTCTCCGTTTCTAATATAAGTCTTTCTAGATATTTCAATAAGTGGCTACATATAAAGCAAAATAAGTGAATCTACACTTCAAAATATGTCTTCATACATTCGTATGTTGCAGTTCATTTGAAATGTCTAAAAAGACTTATATTTAGGAACGGAGGGAGTATGAAGCATCGGTTTAACTGATGAGGTTAGCACGCATGAGTCAAGTAATTCTGGTAGTACGTATACATTTCTTTAAATCAGTGGAAGTGATTTAAATCGTACATACATATGCAATCGTTATTCCTCGCTCCACCATAGGCTGGGATCCTCTTTGTACTGTTTGGTGATGTACGGTCACTGCCTTGTGGATCGATTCAACATGTCATCGGCACTACATCACCGTACGGTACTGCAGAGAGCTGAACCACTTAGAAAACTATTAATCTTAACAGTTGCACTTCTGTAACCTATTATATATATTTTTGAGTCGCAAACGTAGAACAATAGTTCTACGCGTATTTTCATTAATTCAAAATATATTACAAATCAAGTCCAACAGAAATCACCCAATACCAGTTCGGTGAAACATAGGTTTAAATTACAGGTACTGCGCTATCCAAGAACTGATCTGTTCTGCTTTTTCTTGCTTTGCTCTAATCCTAGTAGCCTGAAGTCCTTCTTTGAGATAGTATTTCCAAGAATCAAAATGTGGTGGTGCTCTCCTGAAGATTTTTGTCATTTCTAATCATCCATGTACTCAAGCAGCCCATGATAATAATCTCCATCGCAATGCTTGGAGGTAGCCTGTCCTTGGAGAGGTGGAACTTCGTCAAATGTGGAAATGCCTCTGTTTTTGTTAGGGGTGATCATATTCCAGCATGACCAAGTAAATTGGCAGTTCCAGTATAGGTGAGAGATGGTTTCCTCTGTAGCATCAGCACATAAGGCACATTTATAGTCTTCTAGGTGCATTGTTCTGCGTTGTAACATGTTCCTACTATATTGCTTAGAAATATTGATCCTGCAAACTGACTTTCCGAGGATTTCAAAGGAATGTCAAAGATGCAGAAATTGTCCTGGGCAACATGCTGAAAAGAAGATCCTCTTGCCAAGGTCCCTCCCTCCGCCAATCTGTTGATTATATGTTCCTTTTTCAATTGAAGAGGAAACAATTTCCTATCAGGCTACATTTCCGTCAACAAGACACGGGGGTATTTACTTTCCTGGTTGGTGTGTCATAGACCAAATTTCACCCTCTGGTTTTCTCTGGAAATTTATTTGTTTGATTTGCTTCTTTGGATTTAATTCTAGAAATTGGTTTCACCCTTTTCCATTGCTCATATATGTTGGAACAATCTGGTACGTCTAATGGCCCATAGAAATGAGCCTGCAATCACATTACGTGAGTAGCCTACTAACTTGTAGTACTACTGTCACAAGTAGGCAGTGTCCAAAATATGTCGAGCGGGAGCGGGAGAGAGAATGGGAGGAGGCCCTGGGTGTTGGTGGGCCTCATGGAGCAGATGAAGTTGAGGTAATCGCGCGTCGTGGTGTCGTACACCGGGCCTGGGTCTAGGGCCCTCACCGGGTTCACGTGGCCCGAGCCGTAGCTGAACGGCGTGGCGGCACCGCCTGTCTCGTCCCGGATCCTGGTGCCGTCGTTTGCTCCCCTGGTGGCTGTATATACACAGTTAGTTCAGCACATGGGATTGTGGCGCGAAAACTACGTTCAAATATCATAAAAACTGTGTTTGAATTCTCAGAATTTGTATTTTATTTATCAAAATAACAGTCAATTGCATTGTGTGGCTTTACTGTTTGAGGGATGAAATTGGCAGCGCGCGGAACAGAGCCCGCAAACCCAGGTTTGCGGGCTCTGTTCGGATGCAGCCAATTTCGGCCTTTAAGCCGCGTTTTTCTCGGCCTTTATCCGCGGTTTAAGGGTCATGACTTTAAGGGTTATGTTAGAGATGCTCTTATCCCATCGCGCTAATGTTGATTGGTAGTACGAGTGTACCGTAGGATGGATGGACTGGGATGCTAATGATAAGATTATACTAGTGCTACAATACGGCTTTTGGATGGCCTAACAGGCCGGCCCACCTACTTTCCCGTTTATGGATTTTTGCTTTAAAAAGTAGATTCTAAACAAATTCACTTTTTGGGTGAACATTTGTAACTGCCGTAGAGGAACGACACCGACGTCGTTCATCAATCCACATTGAAAATTCCAAGATTTCAACCTCTCAACATCGTTCAATGTCAAACTCAAAGCTTGAAAAATTCCAAAACTTGAAATTGTAAGTTTGAGCTTCCAAGGTTTAGAACTTTCTAACGATTGAGATTTCGATAATTTTAAACTCCTACAGATTTATAACTTTTACTTTTACTTTTTGACCTTTGGGTTTCCTTTTTTTTTTTTTGCTCTTTTGAACATACAGGTCACCCCACCACCACAAACACAAAGATTAGACAAGATATATAAATATAGCGCATTAAGTTCTCCCAAAATAATTGAGAGCTTGAACTCTCACAAGCATTTATCTTTGTACTGTATTAGCGGAACATGTTTGCTCGCGCCATATCTCTACTGCACTCTGTTTTGTCAATCATACAAACATGCGCATGTGTTAAATAGGTGATCCCTTGATTTATTGCTGATATCGATCGACTCCAAACGCTATTCGCACTTGGTGGTGGCCGCAATGGGGCTCCAGACGTAATGCTTCCCGTCCGACCATGCGATGCCGCCGAACACGTAGTCGGCGGCCACAACGGGGTTGTTGACTTGAAGCGTCACCTTGAAATGCTTCTCCTCCTCTGGATTCTCACCGTCAAAGCTCAGCGTGCTGGGGTTCACTGTGACCGTCACCCCGGCCGGCTGCGTGATGCGGACCGTGTACGACGCCGCCCCGCCGCCGACGTTCCTCACCCTACGCTTCACGGTGAAGCTGCCGGAGGAGGGCAGGCAGGGCGCGGAGATGGACGGGTAGTTGAGGTCCTCGGGGCGGTTGGCACCCTTGCTGCACTCAAACGGGTTGGAGTCGGTGCCGCGGAACACGCAGTTGAGCACGGTCCAGAGTTCCTCTAGCGGGAGCGGGAGGGAGACAGGGAGGAGGCCCTCGGTGTCGGTGGGCCTCATGGAGCAGATGAAGTTGAGGTAGTCGTGCGTCGTGGTGTCGTACACAAGGCCCGGGTCCAGGGCCCTCACTGGGTTCACGTGGCCCGAGCCGTAGCTGAACGGCGTGGCGGCACCGCCCGTCTCGTCCCGGATCCCGGTGTCGTCGTTAGCTACCCTGGTGGCTATACAAACATAGTTAATTAAGCACATGGGATGGGATTGTTCGCGGCTGAGAAATTAGATCACGGTGACGGCGGAACTGCGTACGTACCGGTGGTCATGATGGCGGAGTAGATCATGTTTGGGTTCCATTTCGGGTACTTCGCCCTGAGCAGGCCGGCGATGCCGGCCACATGCGGACACGACATGGAGGTGCCGGACTCTACCATGTAGGCGACGCGGCGGCCGTCTGAGGCCAGGCCCGACGGCGAGACCTCCTGGCTGTATGCGGCGATCACGCTCACGCCTGGCGCGATGATGTCGGGCTTGAGGATCTGAGGAGTGATGGTGTTTGGCCCACGGGATGAGAAGGCTGCCATCACCGGCGACGGCTTCACACCCAGCTCCGCGTCCCTCGCTCGGATCTCACCCATTGGTGATCTGTTCAAACCGGCCAGAAAGTGTGATCGATGTTGGATTAGCCCATGTATCTACAAGTACTTATTCTATCCCATATTATACTGTGCATCGGTTTTCACAAAAGTCAATCTTACAAGTTTCGAAGAAAATCCTATCTACTATACCAATATATATACAGTACCATATGATAATATGTTTCACAATGAACCTCGCGGTATTGATTTGGCATTCCAAATGCTGGTAATTTGTTTTTTTCTATATAAATTTGATCAAAGTTTACAAAGTTTGGCTAAAACCCTACTGTATTTTATATTTTAGGATGGAGGACAAAAGAACCAGTTGCTAGCTTACCCTGTAGACTGGATGTAGCTCAAGATCTCCTGGCACTTGGAGTAGGAGCAGTGGGCTGCCGGGATGATATGCGGGTCGGCAATGACGTTGTCCCCGCTGACGGCGGCGTTGCAGAGGACCATCCCCGCGCCGCCGGCGTCCTTCACCACCTGCCCCTTGGCGACTCGGCCGTTTGCTCCTCCTCTCGTGCACACGACTATCTTTCCGCTCACCTTTGCAGGGTCCAGGGAGCCAGGCAAGCACAACGACCTGCACGCAACATGCGTCTACATCTTACCAACAATTGCTTGTACTAGCAATGCCTTGATGGTTGATTTTTGTAAAGCTGGTATCAGAACGAGATCTTAGAAGTTGACTTTCTAGATAGATCTTACGAGTTGGCGGGAGACTGGCCTGCAGCATTGGCCTTCTCCCCGCTGATCATCGCACATGGCTGGTCGGTGCTGCTTGATAGACTTTGTCCCTGCAAATTAATTAATCTCGGGCATCAACTTTCAATTCATACTCCCACCTTTTTGGTTTAAAAGGCCTACGGGTAACATTTTAAGTTTTCAATGATACATTTTTTGTGACATAACACTTATTTTACGTTCCCTAAATTGTCCACCTAGGGATATGTTTGGGTCTTTCAAACCAAAAAGGAGGTAGTACATACTACTCCTAGTAGTTAGTACATACACATATAGGTTTTTGTTATCGCATCAAGGAAAAGCAGGTTAATTACCGTGATAGTCTTGGTACCGATGACGACATCGGCGGGGAAGATTCTGTCCATGGTGCTCGCGCCCACGGTGAGCATCCATGGAGCCACATTGCTGATCGAGCCTGCCGTGGGGCCATCGTTTCCACCTGCCGCGACGACGACGACCCTCTGGGTGACAGCATAGGCCGTTCCTATCGCAATGGTGTCGGTGACATAGTCGGAGGCGGGGGAGCCGACGGAGAGCGAGAGCACATGCACGCCGTCGTCCACCGCCGTAAGTATGGCCTTGAGGATGTCGACGCCGGAGCACCCTTCCCTGAAGCACGCCTTGTACGAGGCCACATGCGCCCGCGGCGAGCCACCCTTGGCCGTGCCCGTCCCGTGGCCCAAGGCGCCGACATTAGGCACCAAGCCGCCGCCAGCCGTGGACAGTGTGTGCGTGCCATGCCCCTCATAGTCCGATGACGAGTTCACCTCAGTCTCGTTCAGCTGCTTGCCGCTCTGCTTGCTCAGCAACTTGATGCCCTCGTTGAAAACCCTGGCGCCGATCAACTTGCTGCATGTGCGTGTGAACGGTGTCAGTGGAATGCTAGGTTTTGCTTTTTTCCCGGCAATTAACGCTAGCTACTCCCTCTATCCGTAGTTGTATGACGCCAACGACCAAATGTGAATCATCTATTACAAAGTTCTATGTAATTTAAATCATATTGAAAATATAGTTTCCGGCCCTATAAATTTCATCACATGTGATGGCTATATTATTGGTGAAATTGATGGTCAAAGTTTAATCGTGAAATGTTAATAAGGACAGCAAGTTGTGTCCGATGATAATTACTTGTTGCAGCCGGAGTAGCCTTGTTGGCATCCACCGCTCCAGCGATCCGGTTTGGGCAAGGTGCCGTCGTCCCTGAAACTTGCAGATATTGGAGATACACCTTTGTACACACGTGCAAAAAAAAAAAAAAAACCCCATATCAACATCAGGTCAGAAGTGGCGTTGGTAATAGTAGAGACTTGCAAAAGGGTACCCTCTGATGCTAACTAGTAGTTGGACAAAATGAACCAAAAATCCCCAAAGATCTCTATTGGTAAGTATCAACGCAATTTTCATCTACCAATTTGCACCTAATTGGCTAGAGCCTAGAGGGCACCTTAACATCCACCAATTTGCATCCCTATTGGTAAGTATCTATCAATGCAATCTTCATCTTTACGAGTCGATCTCTTTGTAAGATTTGAGTTGACCCGAGTTAAAGTTCATGCATGTTACTGTGTACTGTGGTTTGATTCTATTTTGGAGCATATCGTGGTGCCCGCAGATATGATTCCGCGTGTTACCGTTGGGATATATTATCATGGAGTATGTACCTTTTTTTATGCATCCCCAGGGATAATTAAGAGTCGTGGGATGTGGGGATGTGGTGTGGGTGCTCATTATCAGAATCCCTGCAGGTCAAAGCGTATCTACATGTACTCACACGATATATGTGAATACTAATATAAGGAAGCGATCGACGACTATCTTTTACTTGATTCCGAAACAAAAATATATATATATTTCTTGATCTATATGCATAGTCATTGACGACGCATTTCTCATCTTCTTATGGTTGCACGAACACTAGTGAGCAGTCCAAATGGTTATCGTCGACTTAGAAATAGTTGCTTCCAAATAGGAGTAGCAAGTGAAACCAGAAAATGTACCCGTGTCCACGTTGGCGATGATGACTCCTTGGCCGAAGTTGGCAATGTTCTTCCAGACGTTGATCGGCTCACCGTCTAACCCCTCGAGGCCGAGGAAACCCCATGAGTGCGTCGTTTGAACCTGGTAAAGTTTGTCTTCGATCACGACCACCCCTGGGAGCACTGCGCATAGCCGGCCCCCAAAAAAATTAATCGACGGTGATTAATAACTGGCACGAGTATAGGGGATGCATGTATGGCACCGTATATAGGAATCATATGTAGTATTGTACTAGTAGTATAGTGTGCTTACGTTTGAGGGCTGGCACGAAAATGCTGTCGATCTGCAATGCGATCCCCTTGATGGCGTCCAAGATGTAGAATATCCGGAACCTGCATTTAGTTTTTCTCAGTTTTTAGGCAAGTACTACCTCTGGCCTGGTTTATTGGTCCTCTTTGTATTTTGTGTCAAATTTTAACCGTCAGTTTAACTAACAAAATGCCAATGCATGTCACAAAAAATTATACCATTAGAAACTATGCTTAAATACAAATCCAATGATATAATATTTAATGACATGCATTAAGGTTTTATTCGTTCAATCACGGCCAAAATTTAACATAAAATATGAAGGGGATCAATAAACCAGAACGGAGGTTGTAGTTAGGCATCTAGCTTGAGTGTGTTGGGTTGTATAGCTAGCTAGCTTACTGGCTGGTGATCGGGGTGAGCAGATCGGACCAAGAGGCCGGCCGTTGGCACGCCATCACCAAGTAAGACTGCATGCATACAAGAAATTAGTACCAATTCGTTAGGAGAGAATGAAGCGGGAGGGTTGCACGCATGCCTTGGTGGCGGCCGACGCCGGCGTGGCGTGCACCGCGAGGAGGAGCGCCAGGGCGAGCAGCAGAGCGCGGCCGGCTCCTCTCCCCATCTTCATTCGCCTCGCCGGCCGATGGTCTCAGCTAGCTGCTTAGCTGGGGGTGAGTGCTGCTGCTATCTCCGGCCGGTCGCCCGCCATGGAATTTATATATGTATGTAGATCGATCGGTAGAGAGGTCGACGACGTGCGCGCGGCTCAGCAAGTCAACTGGAGGAGATCGGTGGTGCATGTGACGGGATCATTTGCTTATCTTCTCCGCGAGCGCGAGGGCCGCGAGCCCAGGTGAGATAGCTAAGTACTCCCTCTGTAAACTAATATAAGAGCATTTAGATCACTACTTTAGTGTTTTAAATGCTCTTATATTAATTTACAGAGGGGGTACTAGTATAATGAGCATGCAGTTGCACCACATGCCGCGCGCATGGTTCGGTTCCGACGGCCAAATAAACTTACTCAGCAGCAAGGTCGTGGCAAGCCAAATACCACAAAAATGATGTTAACTAGACGCTCAATAAACCTACACCCCTAATAGGTAGCGGCTGGTTTGACGGAAAATACAGCACCTGGGTGCTCCACCCCTCAATACAAAAATTAAATTCAAAAAATACCAGGCAAATTCAAAAAAAATCTGAAATCTTGGGATCTCAAACTTGAGCGCCCAATCTACTCCGTATGAAGCTTATCCGTGGCGAAGAAAGTACAGCCCGAACTAAAATCCATCCAAACAGTTTCCTTCTACACATGAGAATTTTTTGTCTTTTTTGCTACGGATGTTATTTTTTCATGAAATTTCACATGAAGCTAGATTGAGCACCCAAGTTTCATATCCCAAAACCCCTTTCTTTGTATGAAATTTCCAGGTATTTTTTTGAACTTAACGTTCATATAGGGGTGTGGAGCACCCCAGGTGCTGCAAATCATCTTCCCTGTTTTGACAGCTTTACTTGCCAGTAGTGGTAGTGGGGTCCGATGGAAGTGATTCGTTAACTAGTTGGCAGTATATGTTTTTTTTTTCAAACTAGCAAGTTAAAGTGGTTCGTTGGCTCATTAGTAACCTAATGCAAATACTAAAAAAGAAAAGTATTGGCCGCTCTTGATTAGAAAAGAAAATCCAAAAGGGATTCATAACATGTCCAAAAAAGGATTGCAAAAGTACCATGTGAACAAGTGTGCACACATTTAATTCGGATTTCAGTTTTTTAAAGGCATACCTTATTATGAGGCCAACGGCGTGCGCGCGGCTCAACAAGTCAACTGGAGTAGAGATCGGTGATGCATTTGATGACGGGATCATTCGCTTATCTTCTCCGCGAGCGCGAGGGCCACGAGGCCAGGTGAGATAGCAAAATAGCACTACTAAGAGCATCTCCAACAGACGTGCTAAACAAGCACCGCGTTGAAAAATTAGTTTTTTTTGTGCACGCGCTACCGCTCCGGACGCTCCAGCGAAGACGCAAAAACCGCGCGCGCGACATAACTAGTTCAGCGCGCGGGCGAAAACGCCATCGCGCGCTGTTTATTTGCTGCGCCCGCTCCCACGCGCTGGACACTCGAGCGCCCGCTCGCAACTCCATCTACCCTATCCAGCCGCGGCGCCGCCGCCGCCCGTGCCACTCCATTTCTTCCGGCGACCGTTCCAGCGCTTCCCTTCCTCCGTCTCTCTCTAGTCACCGCTGCCCTCACGCGCGGCAGTCGTCCGACGAACAGCGCTCGAGCGCCCACTGCCGCTCGGCGACCGCAAGATGTACGATAAAATGCCCGCAAGGTATGTATTGCTTCAACTTCACATTTTTTATTACGTGAATTTGGTGCATGTTCTTTGTAGTTTTATAGCTTAGTTTAAACTGAACATTGTAGATGAGTTCGTCATATGATTCTTCCGAAGAAGAATTTGATATGGAAGAGGAGGAGGATCTTGCAATGATGCTAGCTATGCGCATCAATAAAAAACTGAAGCATGGTGGTTCGGTTATGGGTCGGCAGAAAATTTAGAGGGATAGGATCGATGCCCATAACAAATTGATCAGGTACTATTTTGCGGATAATCCCGTGTACCCCGAGTCGTACTTCCGGCGCCGATTTAGGATGAGCACCGAGTTGTTCATGCGCATTGCAGAGAAACTTACGAGCCATGACCGGTTTTTTTAGTAAAGGAGGAATGCCGCTGGAGAGCTCGGGCATAGCACCTTTCAGAAGGTGGCAGCCGCTTTGCGTATGTTGGCATATGGTATCCCCGCTGATCTAGTTGATGATCACTTGGCCATGGGTGAGAGTCAAGCCATCATGTGTGTCAAGCGCTTCACAGTCGGAATTGTGCAAGTGTTTGGCCAGGAGTATTTGAGATCTCCCAAAGTTGAAGACGCCGCTGATAACCCACAAGTATAGGGGATCGCAACAGTTTTCGGGAGTAGAGTATTCAACCCAAATTTACTGATTCGACACAAGGGGAGCCAAAGAATATTCTCAAGTATTAGCAACTGAGTTGTCAATTCAACCACACCTGAAAGACTTAATATCTGTAACAAAGTATTCAGTAACAAAGTAGTATGGAAGTAATGGTAACGATGGCAAAGGTAACAGTAGCAGTTTTGTAGCAATCATAACAATGGTAACGGAGAAGTAACTTAGCAAAGATCAATATGAAACGAGCTCGTAGGCAATGGATCAATGATGGATAATTATGTCGGATGGCATTCATCATGCAACAATTATAACATAGGGTGACACAGAACTAGCTCCAGTTCATCAATGTAATGTAGGCATGTATTCCGAATATAGTCATATGTTCTTATGGAAAAGAACTTGCATGACATCTTTTGTCCTTCCCTCCTGTGGCAACGGGTCCTAATGGAAACTAAGGGATATTAAGGCCTCCTTTTAATAGAGTACCGGACCAAAACATTAGCACTTAGTGAATATATGAACTCCTCAAACTACGGTCATCACCGGGAAGTGTCCCGACTATTGTCACTCTGGGGTTTGCCGGATCATAACACGTAGTCGGTGACTATAACTTCCAAGATAGGATCAAGAACACACATATATTTATGAAAACATAATAGGTTTAGATCTGAAATCATGGCACTCAGGCCCTAGTGACAAGCATTAAGCATGGCAAAGTCATAACAACATCAATCTTAGAACATAATGAATAGTAGGGATCAAACCCTAACAAAACTAACTTGATTACATGGTAAATCTCATCTAACCCATCACCGTCCAGCAAGCATACGATGAGATTACTCGCGCACGGCGGTGAGCATCATGAAATTGGTGATGGGGGATGGTTGATGATGATGATGGCGGCGGATTCCCCTCTCCGGAGCCCCGAACGGACTCCAGATTAGCCCTCCCGAGGAAGAATAGGGCTTGGCGGCGGCTCCGTATTGTAAAATGCGATGAATCCTTCTCCTTTATTTTTTCTCCCTGCACGTGAATATATGGAGTTGGAGTTGAGGTCGGTGGAGGTCTAGGGGGCTACGAGGCAGGGGCGCACCGCCCACCCTCGTGGCAAGTGTGTGGGCCCCCTTCAGCTGATTCTTTCGCCAGTAGTTTCTTATTAATTTCAAAAAGTGTCTCCGTGAAGTTTCAGGTCATTCTGAGAACTTTTATTTCTGCACAAAAATAACACCATGACAATTCTGCTGAAAACATCGTCAATCCAGGTTAGTTCCATCCAAGTCATGCAAATTAGAGTCCAAAACAAGGGCAAAAGAGTTTGAAAAAGTAGATACGTTGGAGAGGTTAACTCCCCCAAGCTTAACTCATTGATTGTCCTCGAGCAATTCAGTTGACAAACTGAAGGTGATAAAGAAATTTTTTTACAAAATCTGTTTGGTCTTTTTGTTGCAAATATGTAAAGCCAGCATTCATGTTTTCAGCAAAGATTATGAACCAACCATATTCATAATAACATTTAGGTCTCACGTTTCCTCATATCAATGGCAATAATCAACTAGCGAGTAATAATAATAAATCTCGGATGAAAACACTTTCTCAAAACAATCATGATATGATATAACAAGATGGTATCTCGCTAGCCCTTTCTGAGACCGCAAAACATAAATGCAGAGCACCCCTGAAGATCAAGAACTGACTAGACATTGTAATTCATGGCAAAAGAGATCCAGTCACAGTCATACTCAATATCAATTAATAACAATGCATACAAATAACATTGGTGCTCTCCAACTGGTGCCTTTTTATAAGAGGATGATGACTCAACATAAAAGTAAATAAATAGGCCCTTCACAGAGGGAAGCATAGATTTGCAGAGGTGTCAGAGCTCAAGTTTGCAGGGATTTGCAGGGTACGACGCTGCGGTGTGGCGCCTATGGCGGTCCTGTTGGGACATGAACTTCACTGACGTGGCGACGCGGGAGCGGGCACAGGAGTTGGCGCCTTTCCCGCGGCTTAACACTGACGAGGATCGTCGCAAACACCGGAGGAGGGAGCGTCGTCTTAGCCTGGCCGAGATGGACGAGGAAGCCATGGCGCTGTGAAGGCAACGCTTCCTGCAAGACATGATCAATGAGGAACAGTTCTTCGCCGAGAGGAGGGCGGAGAGGGAGGAGAGAAGGAAGGAGCGAGCCGCCTATCACGAGGACAAGCGAACACGGAAGGTGGTCGCTAAATACAATACGGCGCTAGGAGATGCGTCGTCCTGAGACTCCCGTGACGAGCGATTCCTTGACGCCTATGCTCAGACGTCGGAGGAGGACATCATCGAGGCAGAGTCCGAGTCGGAGAATGACGAGTAGTAGTAGATTTTCGTTTTATTTTGTATCGTAGAAGCAGGCTATATGGATGAAGTAGAACTATATATCGTTGGAGAAGCCTAGATGTGCGCATTTTGTATCGTAGAAGCAGGCTATGTGCCGAACTATCTCCATATTTGTGTGCTATGTATGCAATTGTCAAGAAAAAAAATGAAATATAGCGCGCCTGCTGGAGCGGCTCGGG